ATTGACACCGGAACGCCGTCGTCGTTCGAAAAACGACATTTTTCGCCCTCGTATCAAAAACTACTATTTTGTTTTTAGCTTTTCTAGATGAGGACATAAAGGACGATTCAAAGTGTGCGAAAAAAGTGCAAAAAGACTTGGGATTTCGCGCTTGGGAAGGTTGGATGAGAAGCTGCTACCGCCGCACTTTGCCCTTTCCAAATTGCTAGCATTTGCCTAAGTTTGATTTAGTTATAGCATATTTTTATATTTTAGATTAGTGAAAATTGTTAATTTATCTACCACTAATGGGAGTGTTTAATTCAATTTCCATCCAGCTAAAATGAGAAAACAGCGCTTCAATTGAACATTTAGCGACTCCAATTCAGACGCCCGCAAGTCTTCCAGGAATGTCTGTCGGTGTGCAATAAGAACTCGAAAAACATGGCGACATACGCGATTTTGCGTCGAAATTCGTTTGTTTTTCTTGGGCCTACATGCATGTAAAATGTGCTGTCTGAATTTCATCGGAAGACAAGTCCGCCTTGATGGGGAATGAATAAATCATGCCGATAGCACCGAAATTGCCGAATTTATTCGATCTATTGTATCAATGCTTAAACAGCGCTCGGAATCATCTGGATTGTATTCAACAACGACAGCCACTGAATGATGACTAAAAGTCGGTTAACAAATAATAAAAAACGGCGGCGATTTGATGGCAGTTCTGAGGACGTATTTTCAGGCTTTAAGGGCACAGGAAATGGAAATAATTAAAGCAAATTTGAGAAGAGAGCGGTTTTTAATTAACCATCAATCCATTTTTCATCTTTATGATGATATATTCCATGCTTTACACTCAATATTGATCAACTGAGATTAATTTTTCAAAATCCTTAATTCCTTTTAGTTGAAGCCGAGAACCGAAAAACATGTGAGTTTTTCACGCTTTTAGGCCGTCAAACTGCTTCATCTTTAGACGGAGTCCAATGGAAAATTTACTACGAAGCATCTTTGCACTGACATGACTTTTTTGTGTTTTTTTTTGTTTTTCTAATCGGACATTGAATTGAGTT